ATAGCTTTTACCTAATTATTACTATAAAGAGTTACTTTTTCTAGCTCTAGCTATTTGCGTATATACGTATATATAACGTCTTTTACGCTAATTAGCTAAGAAAAGCCTTAGAGCTATTACTAGAGTAAGTAGAGCCTAAGTAGCTATCTATTAAAGTTAATAGTAATTTAGAATAGCCTATATATAAAATTCTAGATAGCTATCTATATTAAAATTATCTTTAATACTACGCTATATAGGTTACTTATAATTCTAACTCTACCTAGTATAATACTATAGGCTTTATTAACGCTCTCTATAAGGTAAGAGACTTTTATATAGTATATCTAAATAAGCTAGAGCTGCTATTATAATTAGATACTTAGATTAAGACGTATAAAAAGAAGAAGACTCTAGAGAAGATAGTAGATAATTTAAAACCTATAAGAGTAGAAGATATAAGAGTAACGTAAAGGCGTTACTAAGTAATTTAAGACTTTACTAAGTTTATAGTATTATTTAAGAAGAAAGTCTATAATAAAGTTACCTTATAGATACGAAAATAAGCCTTCTAGTTTAAGTCTCTATAAGTTTCTTTCTTTCTAGAGAGAAGGTAGTAGCTATAAAAGCACTTTTAGTTTAAAACTAATACGAATATACTTACTATAAGCTAAAAGAGATAGTTAAGAGTATAATATAGAAGTTTTAGAAGAAGAGAGACCTAGAAGACGTATTTTAAAGCTTAGAGACAAGCTTTCTCTATAAGAGAGAGTAATATAATAGTCTAGTTTAGAGATTTACCTTAGTTATATAATCTTAGGTTATATAACCTTGTTACGTAACCTAGCCTAGCGTCTTAGCGCTTAGTATCTCTATATATAGAGCCTCTTAGAGCCTTTTCTCTACTTCTTATCTTTAGATAGCTAAATTTAACCTAATCTACTCTACTAGCACCTCTTATTCTTATAGCTTATAGAGATAGTACTACCTATAGCTAACTTATCTAGCTAGATATTTAGAGATGCTTATAGTAGTAGAGACTATAAAGCTAGCTCTTATAAGTACTATTTTCTAGTTATCTACTAAAGTTTATAATATATATAATTATTAAGTATAGAAAAAAGCTAAGAAATAAGTTCTATAGCTTTAAAAGAATAAGAAAACTAAGTATAAGAAAATATAAAAGGCTAAAAAAGCTACTATATTAGAGAAGAGAAAGCGTATAAAGATATTAGTAAAAGAAATTCGCTTTTAAGAGTAGAGCGTAAAGACTACTAAATATAAGAAGGTAAAATACACTCTATAAGTAGAGTAATAACTTAAAGAAGACTTTAAAAAGTCTAAAAGAAGTAAGAAGAAAGTCTTAAAGACTTCTCTATAAGTTACTTAAGAAGTTAAGATTAATTTCTAATTAACTATTAATATAGCTTTAATAGCGGCTAGGTTCTTATATATAAGAAAAATTAAGCTTCTAGAGTACTATTTAAACTAGTTATTACTCTTAATAAAGTATTTAAGCTTCTATAACTACTATACTAAAAAATCTAGTAATTTTATAATATATATAAGACTCTATAGCTTTAAAAGTTATAGGTAGTAGTATCTAAAAATCGTGTATTATATAGACCTAAGTATTATATAAGATAGCTTAGTATCTAAGCTATCTTTATTAGTAATTCTTAGTATAAGAACGCGTATTAAGTAACTTCTATCTTTAGAGCTTAGTATCTACTCTTTTACTTCTAATAAAAAATTTTAACTACTTAACTATATACTAATACTAGTAAATATAGCGAATAAGAGCTATATATATACTAAGCTTACTCTAAATAATATTATCGTAAAGCTAGCTTTTAGTACTATTACTAATAGCCTTTTTATTACTTAATAGCTATTATATTATAGATTCTTTATAAATATTAGCTCTACTAAATAATTTAACGCTAAAGTTATAGCGTTTCTATCTTATAACTAAGATACTAGTCTAAGTAATACGCTAACTAAGCTAAATATAAAGACTAAATATAAATAGAAAAAGAATATATAGCTATCTATCTAGATAGACTTATATATTATTAACTTATAAAGTAAGTATATTAATTTATTAGCTTTATAAATAACTAGTTAAGAATAAACTAGTATAGTATAGAACGTCTAGTTTCTTCTATATTTATATAAGTAGAAAGTCTAGGTATAAGATATCTACGTCTATTTTATAGTCTATCTAGATACTACCTTTATCTATATCTAGTAGAGATAGATAAACGCTAGTATATACGTAAATAGTAAGAAAACTAAATAAGCTATCTATATTAATAGTATAATAGCTAGAATTATAATTAGAAATCTTATATATAACTTTATATACGCGTAAGTATTACTAACTCTAGTCTTTATACGTAACTAACTCTTATAGAGGCTAAATAATACTCTAGACACTATATATATACTTACGCCTACGCCTTCTATAAATAGATAAACTATTAGAAAGTAGGCTTTTTTAACTAAAATAGATATTAGTATCTAGAGTAAGATATACGCTACTATAAATATCTATAAGAAGACTATTACGCTTAAAATTATTAGCTATATAAGAAAAGATTAGAAAATTATAAACTAGTAAATTAAAAGACTATAGAATCTAAGTAAAATTATCTAAGCTAATAACTCTAGAAGAGTCTTCTTTCTCTAAAAGGCTCTATATACTAAAGAAAATAGCGCTATTAATATACTTTATTATCGAACCGTCTATATTATTAAACTACCTAAAAATGCTAAGCTCTTACTAAATACTACTATCTCTATTATAAAGCTCTCTATAAACGCTTAATTAACCTTAGACAAATTCTAAATATAGCTTACGCTCTAGACTATTTAATAGAATCTAGAGCTAAGCTTATAACGCGCTATAGCTCTCTATATTATACCTTAGAAGCGCGTTTATAATTAACGCGATAAAGTTACTCTATAATATAAAAAGATACCTAATTAAATAAAGCTTACTATAAATAAAGAGTAGGTAATAGTTAAGTATATACTTAATCTAGACATGCGAGAATTTACTCTCTAGCTTGCTACTATTTAAGATATAGCTAACAAGCTACTTACTAAGTAAGATAAGAAGGTAGTAGGCTAAATCTAGCTAAACCGCTTTATTACGTACTATTCTAAGCTTAAAATATAGCTTAATTATAAGTATAACTATTAGAGAGTAAAGTAAGAAGATTCTATAATTATTTAGACTTAGTTTAATCTAGTAGATAATATAAAGGCGAAGTATAGTATTACTAATAAAGATATATATAATTTTAATAAATCTAGCTTTATAATAGAAATAATATTATCTTAGATAGTAGTTACTAGCTCTAAGAGATAATTGCGACTAAAGAGTCTTTAACTAGATAATTATAAGTAGATTTTAGTAATTATAATAGTAAGAGTAGTAGGCAATATATAGGTTCTACTATTTCTTATTATTACAAGTAAGAACTACCTCTTAGCGTAGTATAAGAGTAGCTAGCTATCGCGCGACTAGGTTATAGCTATCTCTAAGAGCGGCTAGATAATAAATAAGGTTAGTATTACGTAGTTAAAGTACTTTAACGCGTATACTAAGAATCGCGTTATAGGCGTATATTATCTACTAATTTTAGATAGCTATAAAAGCTACAGCTTAGTTAAATTCTAGTAGTACTGCAAGGAGAACAAAATCGTAGCTCTCTATATGCTAGCACATTTATTACACCTCCTGCAGCTACTTAACGTTAGCTGCTTCTCGCCATTAAAGGTAGCATATAGCCGCTAAGTTAAGATCCTAATGCGCAGCTATATCAACCACGTCACGAAAACCAAGTTCCTGCCCGCGTTTTACGCGGCTTTTCACGCGTTAATTACAGACGACAATATTAGGGCAGAATTTAGAGGCGCTGGCTTGGTCCCATTCGATCTGGATTTAGTGGTATCGAAGCTCGAAGTTCGATTGCGCACGCTAACACCCCCTACCAACAATGCCACCACCTAGGAGTGCAAAACACCTAGTAATCTTGTTGAAGCAAGGTCCCAATCGACCCTAATTCGATCAAAGATTACACAGCACCTTAATTCGTCGCCAACTCATATTGTTGAGTCGCTTAATCGGCTTGAGAAAGGCAATGAGTTGATAGCGCATCGGCTGGTGCTTGTGGAGTCTGAAGTCGCCCAGCTTCGAGCGGCTAACGTACAGAAAAAGGAGCGTAATTCGCGCAAAAGAAAGCGGATTCAGGAAGGGAATACCCTTACGATTAAAGCTGGCTTGCAGCTGGTCGCTCAAAGGGAGGTTGTGGATCAGAATAAGGGCAAGAAGCGGCGCGAAGGGGTGGTGGCACGCGACGGCCAGCCAGCTCAGCGACGCTGTGGACGCTGCGGTGAGCCAGGGCACAACGCGCGAACGTGCCAGGTAGTTGAAGACGATACAGATGAGTCGGATAGCTTATCCAGATTTATCTCAAGCAGCTCGGAGTCAGAGCAATCTGACTGAGATGGCGGCTTTTTGGTGGGGGCTTGGCATTTTTGGGCGGTTCGATGATATGGGCGGTTCGATGATAAAGTACGTTACCCCTTTTTAGGAAGTCTTTCTTGTCCTGAGTCCACTTTGCTAGCTCAATCTGTCGACCGTTATACACGATTCCCCTGGTGTGACTAACGCCAACCTTGCCCTCTTCTGCGGTGCGCTCCAAGGAATACAATACGTCCATTCAATTGCTTGGGTCCATCGAGACATCAAACCCGACAATATCGGAGTAAGAGGCGCGCAAGACATAGGGGTGCTTTTGCGACCCCGCCGATGGCCGCTCAAGCTGGACCTCCATAGCATCTACAGAATAAGCTTGCTGCTCCTGCGATCGAGCCATGTGAAGCTCTAGGTGGCCTGCTGCGCGGTAGCAACGTGCGCCTATAAATCCCGACCGCAGCCTACCTTTTCTCTCCTCTTCACGACGCCGGCGTCCCGCCCGAGGGACCAAAAACAGCGGCTATAGTACTAGATGCCGTGGGTGCGTACGTCGGGTTCGAAAACATGCAGACCGAGCGCGATGAGTTTTAGGAGGAGCTGGATCTAGAGCGGAACAAAAAAATTGCCGCTCGGTTGATGATGATGGGCGGACGGAGGACGAAACTCGGAAGGCCGTGCTTAAGAAAGCGCAGGAGGGTCATGAAGAACTTATAAGGAGCCTGGATAATGCCTATGCCAAAGAGGCGACTGCCCAGGAACCTGTCATAAGTGATGATCGGCCTCATCTGGACCAGCCAACCCTACCAGAGATAGGCGATGCACTTCTGGTAGCCCGACGACCCAATGACGGTGAAGCTGCATCGCACCATTGCTGTGCCGGAGCTTGGTCAAGCTCCGCGAGTCACAGAATGTCGTGAGTGGGATGCTAAGGGGAAAGCGCTGGGCGGTCGCGCAAAGAATAGATGAGCTGGAGCAGGTCAGCGCAGACGGAGAGGGCACGGCTGAGGAGAAAGAAGGGTTAAACCGAGAGGTTGGCTGCTGGCGGGCGGCGGAGCTTGGCCGCGCGAGCCAACTATCGTCATTCCAAGGTTGTTTGTTCGTGGTCTTCAACACCACCACGACCTCGTTGCGCCCAACGCGGATGAGCTTCTGGATACCGCAGATGCGTCGACGCGACAGTTCGGAGAGGAGGATCATGCCGTCAATATTATCTGCAATCATTAGCTTCTCTCGCCTCGACTTCCCGGAAAACCCATCATATTCCAAAAGCTTCACGTACGCTCCCATCTCTGCGATCTGCTTCACGTTCACCATCACGAAGCTCTCCACCTGGATATTTCTCCTCATGAAAGCGGCGATTTGTGAGAGATATGGTGGGCGTCTGTTTCTGCGTGGCAAGTTCTGTGGGTAGGGACAGTGGCGCGAAGGTCAATCTTGAGTGTGAGATCGGCCCGCCTAGCCTCGGCATCACGTTGCGCTAGTCCCCTTGCGGTGGCAGAGCTTTCCCGCGTTCCGGCTTCGCGACCCTTAGGGCGCTTGTCGGGGTGCCGGCGCACCTCTACTCTCAATCCGTTCAGGGAGTCTATGATGACCATATCACGCCCGGTCACACAAACGTCTCACAAACGTCTCACAAACGTCTAGGAAAATTACATATCGCTGGCTCGCCGCTCATCGCGTGTCCCGCTATCTTATCCAAATGGCGTGCGCCGATGCCGTATCCATAGCGTACACGTTCATTCCTGGTATACTCCCTTAACCAGCAAGGTGTCTCCGCATTAGGGCTTTACAGCCCTGACAGAAATGTACCTCCCATCGCCCCAGTTCAGCCAAGTCTCCACGCCCGCCATGACATTGGTGAATTTATGCTGGATGCCTAGCAGCTTGAAAATCTGATACGGGGCATACCCGACGACGCCGAAAAGCCTCCAGAGCGGAAGCACCTCATCGGTCAGATCCTCCAGCGAGTAATCCTGGAATCCCGCATTGGCGACTAACTGCTCGTATCCTCCCTCCTCGAGCGTGTTCTGGCAGTGCGATAGGCGCAACACATCCCGGAGGACCTTGGAATTACGGCTGAAGTCCGCTTCATGGAGAACGATGACGCCGCTAGGCTTCAATAGGCGGTGGAAGTTTCGTAGAACCTTGGCTGGATCATCCGCATGGACGAAGGTCTCCATGGTATAGATGCCGTCGAACGAGGCATCCTGGAACATCGTCAAGTTGTGGTAGTCGGCGTAGTCGACAGCGATCTTGTTGTCGAGGCCATTCTTCTTGACATTCTTGCGCGCGTCGTCAAGGTGGTGTGGGGTGATGTCGATTGCTTGGACGTTGAAGCCTTTGCGTGCCATGTACATGGCGACATAGCCGGAGCCTGCGCCCGCATCCATAACTTTCGACCCAGGCTTGAGATCTAAGCGCGTGTAAAGCTTCTCTTCCATTGCTCTTTGCGCTTTCGAGACTGGGAATGGCGAGAGCTGGCCCTTTTCGTAGAGACCGCAATGTCTGTAATCGTTAGGGGGTTCTGTCCAGAGAGAATGTGAGGATGACTGAATCAGGCGGGGGGTGTAGATGCATGGGCCACTCCATAATAGAACACAGCACCTGCGTTCTAGTGTGCTAAGGAAGTTGCAGTGACCCGCAGCTCTTGGGCATGAAATAGCCCACCAAGGTGTCCTTTAGGCCCATCATCCGATTGCCAAATGTATCATGCATGATCGTACCTGGTGTTCCCCAAGAGTAACCAGTATCCCACGCGTGATTCGAGTGAGCTGTAATAATCCTGCACGGACGGTGCCTGGTCGCCATTGTTCGCAAGAAACGCTGCCACGTGGGTTAGCGTCCTAGTATGTGAGGAGAGAAGAAGGAAAATGATAGAATAGTGACAAGCAGCCGGTCCTTCCAGCTCTTGTGGGTGGATGTTGTTTGTTCAGAAGAAGTTTGCCAAACACGCACCGATTAGCGCCGAAACCAATAAAACGAGGGTTCCGGCGACGTATCGCAGTCTCAGCCTGCGCTTTTGCACAGGCCGTGCAGCAGAAGGTCCTGAGTTGGCCATCGGTGAGAGCGCAAAAGGCGAGATGCAAGATGTAGAAACGTTGAACGCTGAAGCCTGGCTAGGTATTTCAGCGGTGAAAAGCGCGACCTCCGCACGGGCCAACCCAAGCCGACGATAGGCGCCGAAGATGCCGTAGGAACACCGGTCGGCGTTTGAACACCACTGAGCAAACCGTTTTCACGACACTCTCGCCACTAGTTATTTGTATGTAGTACGGCACTCTTCAGCGCCTAACTCTGCGTTAGCCGTAGAAGCAGAGGTGGCGCACGGCTTCCGCGTCGCCCAGCATGCACCTGCCTCCGCGAACTCCGATCCCAATACCATACTGGCCATCGCCCTTCATCGAAACCCTTGCGTTGCACATCAATCTCATCCACCGTCACATGGACTTGCTGTGCCGCCTGAAACGGCCGAAAATGTTAGGTACGGTCCCACCAGTGATTGGTGATAAAGCTGAAGTGGGGAGAAAGAAGCAATGATTAGGTAAGTAGGTGAGAAGCCACTATGTATGCCACGTCTGCTAACAAATGCTCAGCTGACTGCCTTCCGCCAACAGTTGGGCTATCCTCAGGTGCCTACCCAGCGAAGGCCCCGCTGTGCCTCGCTGCCTCTTAGCAGGAAGGCAAACGCTGCGTATAAAAGGGCAGCCCTCTTACCTATCTAGATAGCCCCCACCTTAAAAGCTTCTATTCATTTGAGTTTCCGCACTATACGATCCAAAGGGTCTGCCCTGTGAATCCTGAGACCACCCGTTCCAGACAGCATCCAAGTCTCCCGGCTGGCCCCCGGCGAAGTGTTCGATGAATCACTCGATCGCCAATACCACCGGTAATTGGGAAGGAACTCGAGGCTGGGTACGACAGCCTAATAACCGCGGCTCCCTGGACATCATCATATCGTGTTCTATCACTATCTTCCTCTGCGCCTGGACCTCCATCTGCGTCAATGTCCCATCCCCGGAACATGGAGTGTGGGAGATATTCAGGGATCGATGGCACATGCTCTGCTTAGGTGGACTGGGCCCGGAGTTTGTTGTCCTGATCTCTATCGGACAGTTTTGCATGGCAAGGGCATCTGTCCAAGCCTTTGCTAAGACGAAGCATCAAAGCTGGACTATGAAGCACGCCTTCTTTGCTGACATGGGAGGCATCCATTTGCAGTTCCCGAACACGAAATCGTTTCCGGTAAACGGCAAACAGCTTCACTTCCTCGTCACGAACGGATACATTGTATACCCTAGGATCAGCGCTGAAGACATCGATGATAAGAACAAAGCTAATGGACTTGCTAGGTAGTTCAGCTTAAGCACTTTTCTGTACCTTAGCTAACGATTGACAGGACGATATGCACCATCCAAATCCTCTGGTTTACCCTAAGCACCCTCTCTCGTCCCATCGCACACTATGCGATCACGACGCTCGAACTTACTACGCTGGCGTATATACTCTGCACTCTCGCTACACTGTTCTTTTGGCGATGCAAGCCGATGGATGTTCGCACTCCGATCACGCTGGAGTGCTCTACCCCGCTGGAACGAATATGCGACCGCAGAGGTCGTACGGCTGCGGAACCATACTACTACACGCCGCTGGACTTCATCAGTCGCGAAGAATGGATAGCGACCCGACTCTGGACGTATTATGTCAACCTCCTCCGCCAAATGCACCTCATCCACACATACAAACGTTCCCTTCCCATCCGGCACTTCTCCTCATTCTACATCCCTCTTCCAACACGACCCTTACTATTTACGATGCTAGCAATTGCTTTTGCATACACTGGTATCTTTATCGCGGGCTGGAACTTGCACTATCCCACCGAGAGTGAGCTAATCCTATGGCGGACGTGCACCTTGGGGACCATGATTATTACCGTCATCGGTAGCCTCTTCGAAGTAACCATGATGTTCGTTCAGTATCGCCGCCGGCACACCATTTCCGCCCTTATCCACAACCCGGATATCGAGATCATGCCCCTGGACCCAGTTGGCCGCCCCAGCCATCCATCCGGCAAGCCGACGAAACTGCAGGTGACACTGCAGAATATCCGCAACAACACCCCTGAAAAAGATCCGCATTTCGACATTCCAATTAGGTCTTTGATTGTTACGACTCCCATATGTGCTTTGTATGTTATTTTTAGAGGTTTTATATTGTTGGAAGATGTCATCTCTTTTAGGGAGCTTCCAGCGAGCACCTTCGTGACAATTAACTGGTCAACGCACGTACCGCATTTTTGAAGTAAGGAATCCCTCCGTCTCGCGATTCCACCACAGCATGACTTCACGGTTTCTATTTCCCTTAGTTTTAGCGTTTGATATTACTTGTTTCCTGGTATGCGTGGTTCTTCTTACGCAAAACAGCTCTTGTGTACCTAATTTAGATCGAGTATGGAGGACAAACATCAGAACTGAATTCCGCCACCTATTCTCCCGTTAGCAGCACATATCCCCATACTTAAATATCGGCGTAAAGGGCAGAGTCAGTGTCTGCATTACTTGAGAGCACAGCATGCATAAGCTTACACGTTTATCCAACACCATTACCTGAAAGCATCCTATTCAAATCTGGTTCAGAAATTAGAGCAGATAAGGGGACTGTAAGATACTAACTTGCCTTGGAGTGAAGCGACACATGCATGCACTAAAGGTACCCGCTAGTTTCTAACCACAGGGTGAAGTGGTGCCGAGTCGTTTGTTGCGCGCAATTTTCCACCAGAATTGGAATTCAGACTGCCTCATTTGGTAAACGAGCAGTTGCCAATAGCTATCGCGCAGACTGATTGGGGATTCGCAAGATGTGCGCTCTAGTTAACTCAGCAACAGCGCCACATATCTATAGCTTACCTGTAGCTGGTACTAGGCTAAAGGCGAACCCTCAACACTAAGCCATAAAAAGCCCCCGCTCCCACGCCTTGGCCGGGCCTGAATTAGTTCCCCTGGGTCCTGTTCCGATTCCCGCTGTGGAGCCTTTTTGTCCTCCGGATAGTACCCTAGCCCAGATCTGCCCACCTCTATGGCGACCGTGCTGGACCGAGCTACGCTAACACCGCAAGTCAACACCCACGGCCCGATCCCTCTTCATGCATACTAACAAAACTGCTGCAGCTCCGCAAGGTCCTGGCCGGTACGGGTCGGCCGCCCTCCCTGTCTGTGGTGGCAATCGCCACTGTCAAATCGCACGGATTACCGTTAGATATCACTCATAATCATGCATATACACATCACGCCCTTCCACTTTCGCAGTAGCTTGATATTCTACATTTAAAGCAGCATTAATGTCTTATCTCCACATTCTCCATCTGCCACTCATTTAAATGTTCCAAGCGACGACACTGTGTCCGGATGATGGCCTCCAAGGATCCGTTCGCGCGCAACTCAAAGCATGCTTCCATCAATGAGGTGGCCTCCTTGTCGCGGCTTTGCGACGAGCGTGAACGCAAGATTACCCATAGCCATCAAAATGCCTGGATGCTCCTTCACAAGCACCCTCTTGAACGTCTCCATCGCTTCCACTGCTCTAAAATACGATTTACACCGTTGGATTATAAATACACATTCAAACGGAAATCTTCGTGTCGTCCCAACTCCTTCGTTTTATGCGAACATCTTCCCACGAATGTGGTTGCCACCTTACTGGCGGGCGCTAAGACGCACAGCCTCCAGCCACAACTGGAGGCAATCGCGAACAGACCAGACCCAGGACCCGAACTGGACCTAACATGGTAACTAAAATAAGAGTCTATATAGCTTCTCTCTAGCTAATTAAGTATATACTTATAGAAAATCTACGTACTACTATTTCTTAGAGTACGTAGAATTATAGAGAGAGTCTAGTATATATCTCTCTCTATTTACGTACGTATATAGGCTATAACGTTCTTCTTAGTATTCTTATCTATCTCTTCTATATACTAGTCGCGATTAGCTTAAAGCTTATCTTATAATCTATCTCTCTAGTACTTAAAGGTAATAAGCTAGCTATTAGATAGTAATAGAGAGTCTAGAAACTTTATAGAAAACTTTATCTAGCTTTCTAAGTATTATTTAGTTACTAGTAGTATAGTAAGTATATACGTAGTTAAATAAGAACCTAGAATAGAATTATCTAGTAGTAATACGCTAGACTTATATATACGTAGTATCTAAGTTATAAAGTACGTTACGCGTTAAGTTAATAGAGTAGATAGTATTTAGCTTCTAGAGTAGAATTATAGTTATACTTATAGCTATTAAATCTTTATTAAAGTAGCGGCTTTTTTCTACTATAAATTCTAATACTCTCTATCTTCTTTAGTAAGTACGTTAGTAATAATCTAGTAATATATATAGGTCTATTATTTAAGTATCTAGTATATAAGTAATTAGCTAACTAATTTATTAATAATTTTACTTAGCTTTTCTAGAAAAAGCTCTTAGAGCTTCTTTCTAGAAGTAGAGAGTATATAAAAGCTATCTACTACTAATAACCTAGATATTACTAAGCTTTAGCATAGCTATACTAGCTTCTATTTAAAGTTATTATTCTAATTCTTATTAGTTATTATATTATATTATTAAATAGACAATTTATAATAATAATATTATTTTAAGTAACTAGCTAGTAGATTCTCTATCTAGAATTTAAGAATTATAGAAATAAAAAAGTACTATAGAACTAGAGTCTTACTTCTAGAGTTATTTTATAAGAGTTTACTTATAGTATTTAAGTAGTTTAACTTAGATATAGCTTTTTATTTAAGAAGTAGAAGTATATACTACTAGCGTAGTAGCTAATTATTAGCTCTACTAGTAGAGTAGAGAATTATTAATTTTTAAAATAGAGAG